GATCTGCTTTTGAAGAAATATAGCAGTATTGTGCTACAGCGCACATTCTAACAGTTGCAGTTCTGGCGACTCCGTCTCAATATACTGTACAACGCGACGTACATTCACATCAAATGTTAACTCAGCAGTAGAATTACACTCACGGGACACTGCACTTATTCGCAATCACAAAAGTACATTATTTGTATGTGCTTGAAAGTCTCGCCGGTTAAACATTTCATTCGCATGCTGTTCTGACATGCACCTTTTCTGAGTGCGTACACCTGAAGCGCGCACACTAAAAAACCTGTCAAACAGCGCCTGATTACTAGACTAAGTTATCTTTCGTGTCTGATTGCGCTAATATTGTAAAAAAAACACACAAGGTTTACAGATAAACACAGTTAGTTATTATGTCTAAAGTGAAAGTAAACAGTTGAGAGAAACTAATAGAACTAAACATGCTGCCGCTTGTCTTTAAAGGGATATTTCACCCCAAAGTTAAAATTCTGTCATTATTTACTCACTCTCATGTTGTCCCAAACCTGTATTAATTTCTTTTTTGTGCTGAACACAAAAGAAGGTATTTTGAAGAATTTATGTCCAGATCAACATTCCTTATGGAAATCCTAAAATCCGTCTTATAGTTCATTAGCAAACATTAACAAATGTTCACAAGCTTGATTTGACATTTTGTAACACAGAAAGATCCTGAACGACCTTTCATTCGATGCCCCAGCAGTCCCACGGATAGAAGAAGAGAAATCAGAGGAGGATTCCACTCCAGCCATAACGACTGTTACCGTGCCAACACCTATCTACCAGACAAGTAGTGGGCAGTACAGTAAGTCGTTTGCTTCTCTAGTACAAATACACTACTGCAACTTTTGAAATAGTAACTTGACACTTTGAATTTGCTAAATATACAGTCAACCTCATGGCTTTTGTTTTCCCCCAGTTGCTATCACTCAGGGTGGGGCATTCCAGTTAGCCAATAATGGAACAGATGGAGTTCAAGGGCTACAAACCCTGACCATGACAAACGCGGCAGGCGCTCAGCCCGGCACCACCATCCTGCAATATGCACAAACCAGCGACGGCCAGCAGATACTGGTGCCCAGTAATCAAGTGGTTGTACAAGGTGAGATTTTACCAAAATAAATGACATTTCGGTTCTAAACAAGTACCTAAAACCTTGAATAAAAGATTAAGTAAGTGTGCTGGCATGTAGATTAAATCTAGGCTAGGCTTAATCTATATCTGGCAGGCAGCCACACAAGGCATCTAAATGTCTCCTTGTCAAAACATAAATCTGTGTTGCTTGTGTTTTTCAGCGGCCTCAGGAGATGTTCAGGCGTATCAGATCCGCACCACAACTGCTAACACCATTGCTCCAGGGGTGGTCATGGCCTCCTCTCCTGCACTGCCCAGCCAGGGAGGAACTGAGGAGGTCACACGCAAGCGGGAGGTTCGGCTAATGAAGAACAGGTATGATATATATATAAAAAAAACATATTTGCATGATTAATGCACTAGCTCATTTTGGACTATAAAGTATGACCCAGGTGAATTGTGTAAAATCCGAGAAAAATTGCCGTGTAATTTATTAGCAGTGTTATACTAGAATAGGGCTGGGCGATAATTTTTCCTCGATAAAACGATATGAAGAGTTCAATAAATGTTTGATATAATGTTTATTTATAATGTTTCTATTTATCCGCGCAGCTCAGATTTCAAACGGCAGCGCAGCGCAAGCTCACTAGAGCAGATGCGTTACTCACTGATGAGTCTGTGTCACGCGACACTAAACAGTGCTGTGAGATCCAGTGTGAAGCGCTGGAATTCAGCGAAGAACACGTCTCTGTGATTTAAACTAGTTTAAAGCCAGTTGAAACAGCGCTGACAAATGGGAGAAACACTGTGAGCAACGAGAGAGTCAGAAGACTTTAAATCTACAAATCGCCATCATTTACCATGGATTTACTGTAGTAACACTAACTACACCATGGTATTGTGGCAGAAATGTGGGATATTCATATGGAATTTTATTATATTATTAATGTAGACATGAATTAAATGTATTAATGGTGTAATGGAATATAATTACAGTATTTTTTGTGATTAAGCTATAGCATTTGTGCATTTAAACTAAAACAAATACCTAGAAACTAGGGCTGCACGATAAATCTTATGCGATATTTAACGCGCACCTTATCAGTAAAGCCGGTTCTGTAATCAGCGGTAAATCTCCATCACGTGCGGGCAACCATAGTTACATAGTTACATTTTTACCATGGTATTGAGGTGCTATAGGCTATGTGTGGTTTTAACTGTGGTTATCATGATCTAAATTATGGCAGCACGATTATGACAAAAATAATTGTCGATTATTCCCTTGAAATTATAATTGCGATTATTAATTACGATGATCACAATTTACATTGACAATGTCATATTAAAACAATGGAAAAACCCTTAAGATAACTTGAAGAAAGAAAAAAATAACTGATCTTAAGCACACAGAATAACATAAGTGGACTTTGAACGATTAATTGCCGCTTTGAACGATTACATAATTGTGACATCCGTAATTGTAATCGCGATTAGAAATTGGATTAATTGTGCAGCCCTAATCTAAATGTATGTTACTATGGAAGACCATTGGTTAATTTTAATAAAACTCAGTCAGAATAATTAAATTTCACCATATAAAAATGAGCTTGTTACAATTTTTACAGATGGTACTGTTTTTAATAATGAACATAAATTTGCATCTGCATCCTAACTCAAGCTACTACTACTGTCAACTCAAGCTACTGTCAAATGTGCATTTCTAAGAGACAAAAATGGATGATATTATTAATATGCAACCTGCACTGCAAACTGTGCTAAAGATACACATCATCAAAGTCAGGAACACAAACCTGTTTCGCTCATTAGAACATGCAGATACTAAGAAATTAATTTTTCTATATTTACATTTATTTTGTTCAGGAAAAATGACTAAAAAAGTGTAAAGAATTCAAAAACTTTTTTTTCATGTTTGTCATGTTCTGGCCATGAAGAGTCGTTTAAAAACCACAATTAATGGTCTTGTTTCTACAACTTTTATTTAGGAGCAAAAATCTGCCTTTAAACTGGAAAGAAATAAGATTTGAAATTGATCTTGATAATTATCGATATCGACTGATATGAAAGATTTTATCGTGATAATTTCTTTGGCCATTTCGCCCAGCCCTATTCTATAATAATATTGAATGAGGGGGAAAACAAATTTTCAAGCCTGATTAAAATGCCTGAGATTTTTTAGTGCTATGCTTGCTTATAGATATTTTTTCTTGTAACTATGACTGTACAGCACCACTGTACCGTGTTCTCCCTTAGAACTCTAACCTAGAATCCTTTGATTTTTGTCATTTAAAAAATCATTAAAATGTGGAGTAAATGTCACATTTTTAGTGACTCATGCGGTGTCCTCTGTAATCGCCTGACTGTAATAATATGTTTCCACCACAGAGAGGCAGCACGGGAGTGCCGCAGGAAAAAGAAAGAGTATGTTAAATGTCTGGAAAACAGAGTGGCCGTGCTGGAGAATCAGAACAAAACGCTCATCGAGGAGCTCAAAGCTCTAAAGGACCTTTACTGTCACAAATCTGAATAATCGCCCTCACACATACGTGCTGAACGGATCTCTTCTGGTGCCTCAAGAGACAGAGACTCTGAACAAACCACAGGCACTCTTTTCATTTCTATTTCCTTTTTTAAAAAAATATCTTCTGTAAAAATCCAGTTATCGGGAATACATTGTAAGTTTGTAAGTGTACACTTTTTTTATTTGCTTTTTTTCCCTTCAGAAGAAAGAGAGTCGGTTTCTCTAAGATAAGAAAAAAAATGAAATGCAGGGTACAGTTTCGTTATCAAACACGTTGCCCTACTTGAGGAGCGTTGCGAACCATAAAGAGCACCTATCAGCTGCAACCGTGACAGGGAATGAATGTTTGTGTGGGTTTATCATGGAAACAGCCCAGGGTGCTGCTTCTGAGACCTGCTCCTGTCACTCTTTTGAAAGACTTTACCACACTGCACCAGTCGTTGATGGCGCTGCCTGCGAGCATGATTAAAGAAGGATGGAGTTTCTCACTTTTGCAGCATGGGTCTTTAATGATTGAGATTAAATCAGCTGTGCCCTCATGTTGTTTTACTGCTTCTGTTACTAATACATATACTCATATTTTTGTTCTTATGAAGACACACGCATATATATATATTATATATATATGCACCTCTGTTATGACTTAGATTGATATATAATCTGTCATTTGTCTACTTTTTCTTAAGCAATGTTGCTTTTGTTACAAAATTAAGTGCTATAAGGAAAAAAAACTCAAGTCACATTTGTTAACAAAAAATAGGTGGATGTTTTGAAACATGGAATGATGACATTTGAAAAAGTGTTGTAAAAAAGTAAATGAAATATACTATGTGATTTTCAGTGAGCATTTGACAGCCCCTAATCAGAAAATCATTTTTTTAACTTGTAAGTGTGCTTCTATTGTAATATATGGGAAATTCTTCATTTATGCCAGACTTTACAGGTAATTTTAGAGCCATCTACACTGATCAGAGACTAATTGTGGTGATACCCTTATATTTGGTCAAAGATTTTGATATACAAAACTGATCTCTGATCAGTGGAAATGTTTTTTTGGTTCCACGTTTCAGTGATGAAAATGCTGTTGTTTATTCTCTTGTGTCTTTTGCCATAACATGTAGATGTTATTATTATTATCATTTTTGTTTAACATTTCTATATTATTTTGAGTATGTATTGTATTTTTAAGAAATGTTGCTTATGTGTAACCTAAATCAGTTAAAAAGCATTCTGATGCAGTCTTTCATCAACAATTATATATTTGGCAGTTGTTCATAATCAAATGTGTTGAGGTAGTTTTTTTATTTTGTATTTAATGGTTGTGAAGATTAAATATCATTATTTAATCTTTGCTTCAGTCCAGGGTTGTTCAGTCCTGCTCCTTGGAGACCTGTAAAGTTAATTTCAAACCAGTTTCAAACATTTCATTTCAAACACCTGTCTGTAATTCTTGATTCAGGTGTGTTAGAGAGAACGGTAACACTTTACAATAAGGTTCCATTGTACCACACTGCACCAGTCGTTGATGGCGCTGCCTGCGAGCATGATTAAAGAAGGATGGAGTTTCTCACTTTTGCAGCATGGGTCTTTAATGATTGAGATTAAATCAGCTGTGCCCTCATGTTGTTTTACTGCTTCTGTTACTAATACATATACTCATATTTTTGTTCTTTTATTTATATATATATATATATATATATATATATATATACAGTGTGTGTATATATATATGTATAGTAATATATATTGAGTTTTATTTTTGTTTTGAAAACTAAATGTATTCACAGAGCTAAATGTATTTTCATTTTTACAAATACTGTTTATTTATTTACTTGTTGATTTGTTTGTTTATTTATTTTTATTTGAATGGCTCTTAAAAGTGTGAAATGCGCAGGAATGTTCAATATACTAACATATATCTCTTTTCAGGTAATACAGACCTTCTTGGATTATTTATAGCACTGTTTGTTGCTGTATTGAGACTGCTACTTCGTCATAAAAATTGCAGGTGGGAGCAATGTTTCGAAATCTTATTTGAAAACCGCATTTTTGCAATTCTGTTTGAAGCACTGCACCTTTAACATCAGTCATGTTATATTTTGTTCTTGTATTAACTAACATGAACAAGCAATGAACGTTACATTTATTACAGTATTTATTCATCTTTGTTAATGTTAGTGAAAATACAGTCGTTCATTGTTAGTTCATGTTAATTCAGTGCATTAACTAATGTTAACAAGCACAACTTTTGATTTTAATAATGCATTAGTAAATCTTACAATTAACATTATAGCTAAGATTAATAAATGCTGCAGAAGTGTTCTTCATGCTTAGTAGTTAAAGTAAGCTAAAGTAGTTAACTAATGTTAAGTAATGAACCTTATTTAGAGAACTAATCTCTGCAGAAAGGTCTGAACAACCTTGAAGCAGCACAATGGGTTGTGTTCAGAGCATATTACTATTCTAACTCAAGTATAGTTCAAAAGTTTGGCTAGTATGATTTTTTGGTTACTTATTATTTTTTAAATAGATTAATATATTTATTCAACCAGTGTGCATTAAGTTGGTCAAAAAGTAAAGACATTTATGTTACAAAAGATTTCGGTTTCCATTTCAAGTAAATGTTCTTTTGAACGTTCTATTCATTCAATAATTCTGGGTAAACAAAAACTATATATATATTATATATATAGCAGCAAAAACTATTTTCAACATTGATAATCAGAAATATTTCTTGGACACTGAATCCACATATAGAATGATTAATGATTACTAAAGGATCATGTGACACTGAAGACTGGAGTAATGGCTTCTGAAAACTCAATATTTTAAAATTATATTAACATTAAAACGTAAGACATTAACCTTTAACAAAATTACAGCATTTGATCAAATAAATCCAGCCTTGCAGAGCATATAAGAGATTTCTTTCAAAAACATTACAAAATCTTACCGACCCCAAACTTTTGAACAGTATTGTTGTCAGTATGCACATTTCCTATGCATATAATATCCAGATTACCTATACTACATTTGCATCAAAATAAAAGAACAGAGTAAACTGCAACAAGATTGTATCCCACAATGAAATGTGCTCAACTTCACCATCACATTTCCAGAGTGATAAACAAACTGGAAGTAACTGGAAAGCTGACTATTTATACACAAAATTGGATTAAAAATGCCAAATAACCATGTTTAAATAATTAAAATAAACAGAACTAAACATGCAGAGCTATGCTATTTCACACGCTGTTAAAATACATGCCACACTGTACATTTTAGAGCAATCGTAGAATGCAATTTTCAGGCCATTTATCGATCAGTTAGTATCTGAATGAATTGAAAAAATGAGATGCCTTGAAATGATTTAGGTTACTTGATGGCATCAGGTAAGCACTGCTTCAGCCATTCATTCATTACCTTATGTCCGCTTTTTCACTGAAAAAGCGGACATAATGTAAATTGTCTGTGATGCCTAAACTGCATAATACAAAGTTTTTTATTCTAAGAGACAGAAATCTCAATTTTCTGCTTTAAGAACATCAGATTGCTTTGTGGCATTGCTTGCAACAGAACAGCCCAGAGGTCCCTAATTGCTTGTATGCTGTTACTCAGAGCATTTGACCTTCACGGTCAGTGATCAAGGTCTCCAGCAGTCTTTGATAGTGGCCACAGCAGGCAAACTTATTCATAGAACACATCAGGGTACTAAATGGTGCTAAACGGACCCTCGGTGTAAACCTACCGTCTCACCCCCTTTATGAATCTGTTGGTTTGATTGCTATTAAAACAAAATCAGAGGCTTAAATTATAATGTTTTTTGGTCAATGATTATAGACTATTTAGTAATAGTAATTAGCACTGATTTGTATTAGCAATAGCCTACCTTAAATGATTAAAAATGATGATTTGTGTCAAGGGTTAATTACAGAGCTTTTTCATGCTAGAATTTAATGATCTTATTTGCCTTGAAGTTATTCATTATTTGTTACAAGTTCTTTGGTTCTTCGCTCAAAATTAAAGATGGAGAGGGGTATATGAGTATATGAATATCTTTCGCTTCTCTCAAAAAAAAATAAAAAAATAATATGTGTTGGCTGAAAAAAGAAAGAAAGAAAAAGAAAATGAATGAATGAATAAATAAATAAATGCAACTTTTTGCATCAATCTTTATAAGTTATAAAGACTTGTAATTAAATTATGTTAACCCTTGTATGGTGTTCGGGTCTGTGGGACCCGTTTTCAATTTTTATCAAAAGAAAAATTATATGATTAATTATTTTTTCAAACTCAGACTCATTGGCCTTGGCTCAAAAGTGTGGAATATTTTTAGGTCCTGTGTACCTTCACTCTGTCCTCCTCCTGTCTGGGCCTGCTATTAGTGTGTGTGTGTGTGTGTGAGAGAGAGAGAGAGAGAGAGTCTGTGAGAGTGTGAGTTTTGTGTTTCTGCCCCTGCCGTTCCCGCACAAGGTTGTAGCACTTTAATTCATAAATGTGATCTAACAAATTTAAAGAGCAAATATGAACCATATATGCTGTTTATATTGCTTGTAATTGGGATGAAGTAAACATCTGTTGAGTATTTTAACTTAAAATTTTTGATTGTGTTGAATTAAATAGCCAAAAAATGCAGTGGGTCCACCAGACCCACAAACATAACAGAGACGCTTTTAAATGTCACTTTATGGCATTACACAAAAATATCTTTCCTTCACTAAAAAAAAAAAAACAACAACAACAACAACACCACAAACTTTTATTCTCTTGATCCCATCCTATAGATCTACTTGAAATCTACTGCCCAATTTTCAAAGTTAGGTTACTACAGCTTATTAAGTTAATGATGATCACCATTTTTATATCAACAGAACTCATCAAATTGATGTTGGCAACTTAAAACAGTTAATTGAATGAATCAATAAGAAATGTAAGGATGAAAGAAACTCAGATACTATGATCTCCTGTGAAACAGACAATACAAACATACACGGGCATCTTCGAGACACCCCACAGAGTGGAGGTGCAGGAAACTTCCTTCCCTTCTGGCCATTTGTTTCTTTTTAAATCCCTTCACCCATCCTTCCTTCTACTCAGCCTGCTCAAAAATGATTACATGAAAATGCCAATGCAAGTGAACTAACAGAACTAACAGGTATCATTTGAAATGTCTCAGTGTGACTGGTACAATGGTCTCATTTATACAGAAGTAAACTAAAAGGTAATAAAGATTTGAAGATTTAGAGATATTTTGCTTACTGTAATGGGTGTGCCCTCTCCCAGGGTCTTTCATGAAAATTACCTTCTGTTCCCATTGAGGTGTAAACTACCCAGGTCTGGGACCTGCTTAAAGCAAATTCCAATTGTTTGTACATGCCTCCTTTTGGGGGATGTTTTATCTTGGTTGTGTATTTAAAGGATTGCAGCAAAAGGGTCGGGGTGATTCTGTAGCCAGAAAGCCCATAGTGTGGCGTGTGTCTCTGCACTCCATACTATGTATTTGCCAAGGTCAGGTATGCACCTTTTACTCTTAGATTCATCTTTGAGAAATTGATGTTCTGTATTAATTTGATATATCTGAATTGGCTAATTGGCATAATACATATTTACCTGACTGATAATAAATTGTTACATTTGATTTTATTCTGACTTACTCTGAAATTATTGACTCTAGTAGATTACATTGTATCCTTGTTACCGCATTTCCTGCATCAGGTTAGTAACAGACTAAAATTCAGTTGAGATGGAGCATAGGGCACACCAACTGTATCTTTAGAGATCCGGCTAACACTTGGTATTAGTTCAAGTGTACTTAGATAGATTGTAAGGGCTTATAGGGAATTTCCATTTAGGTCAACTGGATGCTGTTCGACCAACCTAAATAGGGTGAGCCTAACCTCTGTTTATTGTAATATTACTCTAGCTAAGTGTACATGGGGAAACCATGGCATGACCATACCAAAACTACTATCAGGGAAAGTAATGCTGGTCGGCTTATATCTATAGTAGTGGTCGTGACCTCTGACTAGAAATAATGTTGCTTTATTCAACTGTGTACAAATCTATGGGAGCTAATTAAAAGTACTTTTAGAATGAGCAAGCATAGGAGCGGCCATCTAAAGTATTAGCCAATTACCTCTGTCTAATAACCAAGACTGACGAGAATGTGACCGTAAGATACGCTAACGGCCGAAGCGATATCTTTGAGTGACATGAGCACCCGAATGAACGAGTAATATTAATGAATAAATAGAATAATCAGATGTCTAGATAAATTATCCTATAAATGATCAATAATAACTGACATTCTAACTCAGATGCGAGGTCATAATAAAATGGAGTCAGATTAGATAATAACATGGAGTCAGATTAGAATTTAACTTAAATTGAATAACTTTGCACGCTGAAAAGACCGAACACGCAAGAAACCTTCAGCCACCACTGGATACCTTCCTTGGGCCAAGTGCGTGGACCTTACAGAATTTTTAACTTGCATTTTTTAAGTTGTGGTAACAGGCCCCCTGAAATATTTTTTAGAGTGTTCTGACAGTTCTTCTAGTATGTCCTTCAAACGCTTAATTTTTCTCAATAGAATGTCTGTGGGTTCATTCAAACCTTCATTTAGTTAGCCATCGTTCTGCCTGTACTGTATTGTAGCCTACATTGTTAACAAATAAGAGAATATGAAACATTATATCAGATCCTATTAAAAAGGCAATATTTTTTACCAGGTTGCTTCTTCCAAAAAAGAAAATTCTGTCATCAATTGATCACCCTCACAATCTTTGAAACACAAATGAACATAAATTTAATGAAACCTGAGAGGTTTCTGTCCCTTCTTTGAAAGTACATTCCACCAAATTTTTGACATTTGTGACCCTGGAGCACAAAACCAGTCTTAAGTCGCTGGGGTATATTTGTAGCAATAGCCAAAAATACATTGTATGGGTCAAAATTATTGATTTTTCTTTTATGCAAAAAATCATTAGGATATTAAGTAAAGATCATGTTCCATGAAGATATTTTGTAAATTTCCTACTGTAAATATATTAAAACTTAATTTTTGATTGGTAATATGCATTGCTAAGAACTTAATTTGAACAACTTTAAAGGCAATTTTCTCAATATTTTGATTTTTTTGCACCCTCAGATTCCAGATATTCAAATAGTTGTATCTCGACCAAATATTGTCCTATCCTAACAAACATACACCAATGGAAGGCTTATTTATTCAGCTTTCAGATGATGTATAAATCTTAATTTTGAAAAATTGACCCTTATGGTTTTGTGGTCCAGGGTCACATTTCAGAAAGACATGGTAAAACAAATCCATATTATTATATTAGTCTGTTTCTTTCTTATTCCGAGGTCACCGTAGCCACCAGATCCAGTCCGTATTCAGTCCAGATGGTGGATCAGCACCTAGAGACGACCTCTACAGCCCTGAATGACAGCGGAGATCAGGACAACTAGATGAGCCCCAGAGACAGATCCCCAGTGAAGACCTTGTCTGCTAGACGGCCACCGGGACAAGACCACGGAACCAGATGAGTCCTCTGCTCAATGTGACTTTGCTGCAGTCTGGAATTGAACTGCTGGTTTCGTCTGGTCAGAGGAGAACTGTCCCCCCGACTGAGCCTGGTTTCTCCCAAGGTTTTTTTCTCCATTCTGTCACCGATGGAGTTTTGGTTCCTTGCCGCTGTCACCTCTGGCTTGCTTAGTTGGGGACACTTAATTTCCAGCGATATCATCGACTTGATTGCACAGACACTATTTAAACTGAACTGAGTCATTTTTTATCATTTTGCATTAATGACACACTATTTTCCTAATTAATGCTGTACAGTTGCTTTGACACAATCTGTATTGTTAAAAGCGCTATATAAATAAAGGTGACTTGACTTGACTTGACTTGACTTGACATGAATTGAAGTCTAGGAGAAAATCTCTGGAAACAAAATACATTCTATTCTATTCTATTCTATTCTCCCAATGTTCTCCATATATAATGGGGCCTAAAGGTCTAAATCCACACACAAAAAAAATAACAATCAATCAATTAGGTCACAAATCAAACAAGCACATTTGTGCCTATAAAATAAAATAAAATAATTCTCGCTATTAACAAACCATTAACTACAACTTTTGCCTCAATAAACTACTAATTTGCTGCTTATTAATAGTTAGTAAGGTAGTTTTTAAGTTTAGGTATTGGGTAGGATTAGGGATGTAGAATATGGTCATGCAGAATATGTGCTTTATAAGTACTAACAAACAGCCAATATGTAAATAATAAGCATGCTAATAAGCAATTAGTTAATAGTGAGAATTGGTCCCTATACTAAAGTGTTACCAATAAAATAAAATAAAATGGAAATGCGCGTACACACACACACACACACACATTTATATATGAAATTCATGTCTTTCATTCAATATTTCAATTAATCTTTTCACTCAAATGGTATGCTACTAATAATATAATTTAATAAAATAAAATACATATATACACATACATAAAACAATAACTAAATAGTTAAAATATAGAAAGAGGCCTTTTCAGTTATGGTCTCTTGGTCTTTTTGATTTTCTTTCACATAAAACAAATCAAATGTAAGATATTGATCTCATAAATTAAAACATTTTGATATATAACATATTTAATTAGAGCTGCTAGTACTATGGTAGAACACATTTGTTACGTTTTAATCGATCTAATTCAATAAAATTCAAATACATAAGCCGACACCCAGTCCTCCATTTGTCTTGTTTTCTGTTTTCTTCATAAAGAATTGTAAAAAAAAAAAAAAAACCCACGACATATTGCATCATTTTCTGATCAAGGAGAATGTAAGAGCATGATCTAATTATAATGTCTCTATGTTGCATTGACTAAGGATTATGTATTGCAAAACTGAAATGAGGCCTCCTAGTATTGGCTACATTTGCACAAAAATCAATTCATCACTCACTAAGAAGCTTTGCAGGTACAAAAAGTCCAAAGCTTTTTGTCCCTTGCAAGATGTTTCAAGTACTCATCCAAAGAAATGGCAATGTACGAAGAGAGCGCAATTGATTTGATGACTTGGTTCCTTTGGGTGTCTCACTGTGTTACAATTACAATCTAATTACACAGAGGCAGGGCAGAGGGAATGGTTCGATCCAGTGGTATTACTCCATTTGGTCCTGGAGCAAATCACTGAAAATTTGCTCATTCATTTTCTGTTGTCAGGCCCTGCTCTTTTTGGTACGCTGAGAAGATTTGGTTTTTATTTCAAGGATAAAGAGGGCAGAGAAGCATGGCAAATGAATTTGTTGCAAATGAAATACTTTAAAATTTGAGTGTGTCTCATTCTGTAACGAATCAGTCCACTAAAGGCAAGTGTAGTGAAGAACCCAAGTGCAGTTTATTTACAGTGTGATCCAAACATCCAAACAATAATCCGAGACTTGACTTGACATGAACAGACTTGACTTGACGAGGCATGAACAGACTTGACTTGACATGAACAGACTTGACTTGACGAGGCAT